CCTAATAGACACTTCTCAAGTATGACCTTGCCCCGGATAAGACAAGAAAGATTCGCCAAAGAAAACTTATAGGTAAAAAGTATCCTAAGAATGGGAAAGGCAGGCAGGGCCAGTGCCAGGACTTTGGCTGTTGGAACTCAGGGTGCTGGGTGGTGTGTGGAGATGGGCTGGAGGGGGAAGTGGCCCAAGGGCTTAGTTTGCTGGAAATAGGACTCAAGAACCCAGAGAGCTAGAGAGCAGGGATCAAACACCAGTGACATCCCTTACCGGATATGTGACTGGGACAATCACCTAATCTCCCTGTGCTTCCCTTTCTTGATTTTCAAAAAAGGACTGATAATGACAGCCCTCTCTTTATTGGCTAGTGTGAGGATTACATGAGTTGTTGTGGCGAATGCCTAACTCATGGTACTCAGTTAGCTAAGGGTTTGCACTATACTCTAGAGGAGAATCACTGAAGAGTTTGAGGAAGAGGGCTGTGGTATCTGGATTTGTATTTTAGAAAGATCATGAGGCTGGCAGTGGTGAAGATGGACTGGCAGGGGGCTGAGAAATCAGAGTCAAAGAAACAACTGTGTAATCAAGACAGATCAAGACCCTGCCCTGGCAGTAAGAATTAACAATGAACTCTGTTATCAGTTTGGGGAAGGAGATGAGGGAAAGTGACTATTTAATGGGTGCTCGGTGGTGCCATTTGCCCATACAGGAAATGCAGGAGGGGCCAGTTTGGGAGCCAGGGTGGGGAGAGAGTATGAGGAGGCATGATCCTTTCCTCTGTGGCTGGTTGAGTTGGAGCAGTGTGAGAACTCCAGGTAGAGATGCCCAGTAGGAAAACCCCCACACCTACCTGGATCACATGATGCTAACATGCTTGGCACCGTACTTGCAAGTACTTCATAAATGTTAGCACTTAATACTTCGTATTTAATCATTTTTTTTGCTTTTGAAGCAACGTTACTATGAGAAACGTTATCATCCATATCTGAGTTTTTCCTTCTAGACTTCTGTAAGTAGAATTACTGGGGCAAAAGTTTTGTTAACTTTAATTCATCTTTCCAAATTGCCTTTCAGAAAGGTTATACCAATATTTATTCCTTCAATCACCTGGATTTTTAAAAAGCAGCCTCGGTGTTTGTTTGTTTGTTTTTGTTTTTTTATCAATCCTTCTCCCAAAGTTGCCAGGTTATGGAGAACAGTCCTTGTGTGCTAGTGATAGACCTATATCAACTTCAGCTCCTTCCTTAAAAGTTGTCAGTTGTCTTTGTCTTAGGGAAACTCCAGAAGTCAATGTTATTCATTAACATGATGTAGTACCACAATCCAAACCACATTCTCAAAACCAGGATGTTAAGTGAAAATGCTGCATGCATAAATACTCCCCCGAGGTTTGGGGAGGGGGGTATAAGGAGAATGTCTTCAGTGAACAGAAAACTCCATTGTACCATAACTACATTATTTTAATAATATTTTCTCCACCAGAGAATCGTTTTTTTTAAATCACGATTTAGTGTATGTACATGCATGGAAATACCATATCAAAATTACATATTGAGTTGAGTCAATATATAATTTATAAGAGGGTACTATTCACTGGTCAAATACTATTTTAACCTAAAATAAGCTAAAATTTCTTTTTAATACATGTGTCAATAGATTTTTATCAAGCTAACAGAGAAAGAGCCATTTTCACTGAAGACAGTGTTTTGATCAGTTTCGCACACGGTTATCATAATTGTTGGCCATTCAGGTGCTTTATATGGTTTTGTTCTTGTCAAACGCTGAGACACCGCAGGATGACAGTACCCGGGAAGCCTGTGGGATGTTTGCTGTCCCTCTCTGTGAATGCTTGCTTTGTGTTGCTTAGAATAGACTTGTTCATAAAGGAGCCAATGTACCTTTAATGAGGTTTTATGTATTGTCTTTTTTTGAGAGGCCTTATTAAGGTGGATACACTGTTCTTATCTATGTGTTGTGTTGAACTAAATATTTGTTTTGTATTTCCCATAATCAAATAACCAGGTGGCCCACAGCACCAACACTTGCCTCTTTTGTTCAGCACATTAACCATCTATCAATGTCTGAAGGGAGACTCGTACTTGCTTTTGAAAGACTTTCTTATATTTAGTCCACAGTCACTGATCTCAGGAGTTAATGAGAGGAGCCCACAATTTTTCAAAAGAGGCTAGGTCTAATTTTTATGAAGTGGGACTCATGTCGAGTAGAGAAGCAATAATGATTGTTCATCTCTGGTAAACCATGGTTGTTTTCTTTTAGTGTGCATCAGTCAAGGGGTTGATCCATCAAAGATTGTGGAACATGATACTTCAGATTGAAGGTGGACTTGGTAGCTCCCAAATGGCCTCCTTTATCGCTGGAACTGCCATCAATGCTTGAAGGAAATTGCTGTGGTTGTGGTGGGGAGTTGAGTGAATATAATGCATCCCAATACTCGAGAGTCATTCAGATGTCCTCCTGCAGGAGCTGTTTCCTGTTGCATTTAAGAATTCATTCCCCATTCATTTTGTTCATCTTTAAGAAGGGCTTTCCAAAAGTACACAAGTTTAAAAGTGTATACATATTGAGCCCATTTACCACAGATATCTGAAAATCGTTGGGCTCCTGACTGGTTTTGTTGCTATTCTTTACGTTCTTTGTGTCTATCTCTACATACTCTGCACAGATTATGCTATAAAGCTATTCTGTGATAAAAAATTGAGAGAGATTGAAACCAAGTCTCTCTTTCTAGCTACAAGTTTCTCTGGAAATAGGTAAGGAAACCTACCCATATTTTAAAAAAAATAGACATGTTATCCAGTTCTAGTAATAATGGTAATTCATAAAAATCAGAATTTTAGATCCAGGGTATATGGGAGAAGTAAGTATAGTCTTCCCTTGGTATCTGTGGGGGATTAGTTCCAGAACCCCAGTGGATACCAAAATCCATGCCCAAGTTCCTTCTATGAAATTGCATAGTAGCTGCATGTAACCTATGCACACCCTCCCATATACTTTAAGTCATCTCTAGATTACTTATGATACCTAATACAAAATAAAAGCTATGTAAATCATTGTTAAACTTTACTTTTTGTTTTTTTAAATAACTTTATTATAGCAATGTGGGGTAAAAGTCAGGATTAGGTACATAAGTAATCTACATGCAGGTGAAGTTTGGGCCTCCAACTGGTTCTCACTTGCCCAGGTTTAGGGCCAGGTATCCTTTGTGTTGATACATCCTTCCCCACCCATCCCCCCACTGTCACCAGCAGTGTCCTGAGACTGCCGATCCCTCCCTTGAGCTAATGTGATTCATGTTCAGGTCTCACTTATAAGTGAGAACATGTGGTATTCGGTTCCTTGTTTCTGTGATAGATTACTAAGTATGATTTTCTCCAACTCCATCCAGCTTGCTGTGAAGTCCATGATTTTGTCCTTCTTTATGTAATATTCCATCATGTATATGTATCTCATTTCCTTTATCCAGTCCATGTTCAATGGGCAATATGGTTGGTTCTATGTTTTTGCTATTGTGAATAGTGCAGCAATAAACATGTGTATGCAGGTATCTTTTTTGTAGAACGATTTATGTTCCTCTTGGTATATTCCCAGAAGGAGAATTGCTGGGTCATATGGAAAGTCAATTTCTAGATCTTTTAGAAGTCGTCACATTGCTTTCCATAGAGGTTGAACTAGTTTGTATTCCCACCAACAGTATAGAAGCATTCCCTTTTTCCACATCCTTACCTGTTTTGTTTGTTTTGATTTTTATTAAGGATGTTCATTCTTACTGGAGTTAGGTAGTATCTCAATGTGGTTTTTATTTTCATTTCTCTGATCAGTGAGGTTGAGCATCTTTTTTTTTCTAATGTAACTGTTGGCTGTTCATATGTCTTCTTTTGAGAAGTGTCTATTGATGTCCTCTGCCCATTTTTTTAATAGAGCTGTTTGTATTTTTTTCATTCAGCTCATTTGAGTTCCTTGGAGATCCTGGATGTTAGGCCTTTGTCAGATACAGAATTAGCAAATATTTTTTCCCATTCTGTGGGTTGTCTCCTGCTCTCTTGATGGTTTCTTTTGCTGTGGAAATGTTTTTCAGTTTGATAAGGTTTTTCTGAATATTTTCATCAGTGTTTGATTGAATCTCCAGAAGCAGAGGCCTGACTCTATTAGCACCCAGCTGTCTGTCAGAACATTGTCCTCTAGGAAAAAACTGTTGCCTAGTTAAACAAGTTTGGGAAACCCTGCATTCTGTATCTCCTGCCCCTTGAATACTGACAATAAAAAGTCAACTGTAACTCAGCATTTTCCAAAATGATTTGACCGCAGAGTCTTTTTCACTCTGTGTAATAGCTGTTAACATCCTGCTTGTTGGAAATGAGTCTAGTTTCATTGTGAAGGGCCAGAAAATCAAGCCACTTGCACAAGGTCACAGAGTCTGTAATGACAGGGCCAGGGCTGGAGCCCGCTAAGGGCTGATGGCCTCCCTCAGCATGGCTGCACTCTTGTGTTGACAGCAACGCAGTGTCTTCAAAATGTTTAAGATAATTTTTCCCTTGAAATTTATTTAAAGAGTTGTTTCTAAAGTATCTAGGATCCTAGTTTAATTTGGAGAGATTTATCTGTTAGCAGATGGAAAATGTGTCAATTGGCCCATTCAATTTCGTAGTACGCTTTATTCATATGCATCAGAAATGGAACCTGAATAGTGTGCACGGTGGCGAAACCACGCTCATGCAGCTAGCTCTCAGTCTGAGGGGTAGGGAAGGGGGGACGCTAGTAAGCAATTAAACAAGTAGACATGTAATTACAAATTAGGATGCGCGCTATGAAGAAAATGAGCTACGTAAATGCTGTCAGATTGAGCTTAAATGTGCAGTCTTTTTTAATTGACCCAGATTCAGAAGGGATCAATAGCAGCTGTTCTTATGGGTGTCTGGGTACTCTGCTCATAACTTCAGTGGGAACCACATAACAGCCTCTTCCCCGCTTGTTTTTCCAGCCCAGTGGAGCAAAATGAGAGCGCAGTGAGCCGGGCCAGCCTCTCTCCCGGCCGTCCCCGACGCCCACCATGAACCACTTGGAGGGCTCCGCGGAGGCGGAGGTGACCGACGAGGCAGCAGGCGGGGAGGTGAACGAGTCGGTGGAGGCCGACCTGGAGCACCCCGAGGTGGAGGAGGAGCAGCCGCCGCCGCCGCCGCCGCCGCACTATGTGGGCCGCCACCCGCGCGGGCGCGCCCTCGAGGACCACCGCGCGCAGCCGGGGCAGGAGGAAGAGGAGCGCGGGGAAAGCCTGGCGCGCTCGGCCAGCACGGAGAGCGGCTTCCACAACCACACGGACACGGCGGAGGGCGACGTGATCGCCGCGGCGCGCGACGGCTACGACGCGGAGCGCGCGCAGGACCCCGAGGACGAGAGCGCCTACGCCGTGCAGTACCGGCCCGAGGCCGAGGAGTACACGGAGCAGGCGGAGGCCGAGCACGCCGAGGCCACGCACCGCCGCG